TGAAACTTCGCACATTAGATAGCTATTATTCTCCAAATATAGTACGTCAGCATACAAGGTACATCAGCGAAACAATGCTATACCCTAGAAAACACCTTGCAGCTCTTTGCAAATAGATTTCTTCCTTTTCATAGGCTCATATCAACATCCGATAGAGTGTTGAATTTCTTTAGGGGGTTGAACTGAAGAAATCCTTCCATTAAAGATCCCCATCCGACTAAATTCGAATATTCTAAATGATTCACGTATATTCTATATTCACGTAGTTAGACAATAATTTAAGATTGAGTAACCCAGTTATCTTCTTCCATCATTATTTTGGGCATTATCAATTTTCACTTGTAATCTATAGACTTCAATGTCTCATTTGCTTCAACGTCATCGTTTGAAGTTCATAATTTTTAAGGTTATACTTTTAAAGTTATTATTTCTGAATACATTTTAATGACATCATCATATAACATTTTAAAAATAGTGTGATGGTTCGTTAAGGCTCCGGAATGACATTCTACCAGTTAAAAGTTCGTATCATTACAATCATCTCTCTAGTTTTGACTCCATCATTTTTTAATTACGAATTTTTTTCTAGCAAATTAGAAACATTAGGAATGCATTAAAAATTATCATTCTTTAAATATTTAAAATAATTATTATACAATATTATCAATATGTAATAAGCATAACATAGATTAAATAACAAAATATTAATCACTTAAAATCTTGAGCCTCGGGTACAATGGCAAAAGCCAGCCACACTGGTGTTTATTATAATTACATCGTCAGATGGATAGCCAATAAACCTTTTACTGTATAATTTATAAGTTAGTTTTTAATAATTAAATCTTAAAAAAAGTATAATAAAATAAAATTTTAGAAAAATAATTGTTCTAGTTTCTACTCACAGTCATTATAAAGTAGTCATTTCATCATGATTATGGTTGAGAACTTTGATATAGGGATATTTAACCTTTATCAGTAAAATAATAATAATATAATAAGGCTTAGCGAACCCGAAGGTTCGATGCCGACTCCACCAATCGCTTGTTACACACCTCCCTCCACCGTTCGCCGTCCAAACCCAGTCCCTTCAGATCGGCTTTAATGCAATCTTCCCACCTTCGCTTCGGTCTACCCCTCGGACGCTTACCATTCGGCACAGCAAATATTAACCTTTTAGGAATTCTCTCGTTACTAAGCCCAACAACTTTACAAGCCCATTTGATTCGCCGCGATGAAATTACATCAATTATATTACCCGGATACAGCTCACGCAATTCGGCGTTGTGTAACCGTCTGAACTCTCCGGTTAACTCATCCTTCTTCGGTCCGAATATTCTACGCAATACTTTATTTTCAAAAACCTTAAGACGCTGCTCATCCCTTAATGTAAGCGGCCAAGTTTCGCATCCATAAAGAACTGTAGGCAAGATAATTGTTTTATAGATTCTAATTTTTAAGTTCCGGGACAAGAGGCGCGAACTAAGTAGTTTTGTCACAGAAAAATAACAAGCATTTCCCGCCTTCAGTCTAACCTTAATCTCTTCTTCAATTTCGTTCTTTCTAGTTATCGTAGAACCTAGATACCTAAATTTATCTACCTGTTCAAACATATTACCATCTATATCGATATCACCAGTAGTATCGCCATTTTTGCAGCTAACCATATATTTTGTTTTATCCACGTTTATTTCGAGTCCTAGTTCTTTACCGGCTTTCATTAACGTTGTCGTATTTAGTTTTATAGTTTCAACGTCTTCGCTTAACAGTACCAGATCATCAGCATAGCCCAGCACGGATGTTGTCCCCCAGATCCAACCCTTTCTCGGTTCGCATTACCTCCCTAATGGCATGTTCTAATGCCAAATTGAACAGGACAGGCGAAAGAGAATCCCCCTGTTTTAAGCCCGAACGAACCTCAAATTTTTCGGACAAATTATTACCGATTCTAACTTTATTGAGTGTCTCCGTCAAGCACATCCTGACTAGATTTACTAGTTTTTTTTGAATCCCCTGCTCGATTAGAATATTATACAGTTTCTGGCGGTCAATAGAATCGTAAGCCTTTTTAAAATCTATATACAGCTGGTGAACAATACCGTTATACTCCAATTTTTTCTCTAATATTTGCCGTAAAGAAAATATTTGATCAATAGTCAAACGATTCCGTCTAAATCCGCATTGGTATTCTCCGATAATTTCCTCGGCGTATTCCGTGATTCGACTGGTTAAGATTAAAGTGAATATTTTATAACATACCGGAAGGAGTGAAATTCCTCGATAGTTATTACAATCCGTCCTCGGACCCTTTTTATGAATCGGAATAAGAATAGATTCTTTCCATTCTTCAGGTAATTTCTCGTTCACCCAGATCTTTTTAACCAACCGATGTATTTTAGAAATTCCAGCTTCCCCGCATGCCTTAATTAGTTCAGTAGGAATATTATCTGTTCCCGCTGCTTTATATGATTTTAATTTTGCGATAGCTACTTCAACTTCCTCTTTACTTGGTCCTTCTATTAACGGTTCAGCACTCTGGTACTCAGAAGGAGGACACAGATCATAATTTCCCGTATTTAAAATATTGTCAAAGTGGTCCTTAAACTTATTCAATATGTCAACCGGATCGGTCAGAATATTGTTATTATCATCCCTAATTCCAGATGTTACGGACCCTACATATTTACGTGATCTGTTTATACCTTTGTACATGTCTCTTACTTTACTTTCGATTCTATTAGTTTCTATTTCAATTATTTTATTTTTAAGATACTCCCTTTTTTTATTTTTAAGCAATTTTGTCGTTTCGTTCTTTGAGTTTCGGAAGTATTCCAGACTGTCTTCGCTAGGATTATTTAGAGCTTTTAATTTAGCGGCTTTTCTTTTTTCGCACATGTTTAAGCAATTTTCATCAAACCACGGTTTGTTATTCTTATTTTCCTTTTTTCCTAGACACGAGGTACCGACCGCTTTAATATTATCCCTGATCTCTACCCATAACTTGTCAATATCCTCGTGGTCCTCGTCAGGAAGCTCTAAAGCTTCAAACCTATTCTTAACATCTAGCTCGAATTGGGTTCTAATGGATGGATTTTTTAATTTTTCCAAATTAAAATTCTCAAAATCGAACCGGTTTTCTTTTCTCTTTTTTATATTAAGTTTTTGTCGAAGTTTCGCGATTACCAATTCATGATCCGACCCACATTCTGCTCCGCGATAAGACCGTACATTGATTATACTGCTTTGCCAGCTGTGTTGTATCAAAACATGATCGATTTGAATTCGTGTTTGCGAATCCGGTGATGTCCAGGTATATTTATGAATATCCTTATGTTTAAACGTTTATCAGTAAAATATCAAACAATAATAGGTTCATAAAAATAATTGGTGAACTAGTCTGATTCATGTTGACTTCAATAATTATTTATTAGTTTTACAGGTTTTCTTCTATATCTAAACAATAGAAAAAAATATTTATCTATCGAACGCTTACACTAGAACAAGTTCTAAACAATAATAATATTGTAATTAACTAAAATACAGTTAACCTAAAAAAGATTGCTTTTTGTTTATATTAGTACAAGGATCATTCTCCCAAAAATGGCAAAAATCATATCGCCATTTGAACAAGAATTTTCTTAACGTTTTCATGTACGACTTTTTAGTTATCTTAGTTATATTCTAACAAATACAATTTCGTAAATAATTCAAACGCAAGGTTTCTACAAATTTTATAACATATTCTTTATTTTTGTTAGAAAATTCATTAACAGCTCATGTCATTAATAACAAAATATCTCAGTTTTGACAAAGTAGGTAAAAAATGATCAATCATTGACCGAGATTTTCCATCTCAAACAAAAAAAATGTCCTTAAAACTAATTTTATGACTTGTTGACGTAGACCATTCTTGACGTCACAATAAATTTTAATGAAATCTTTATCCAATTGTCCTCTTTATTGAAAATAAATAAAAATGAGAACTGAATGCCATAGATGTAAGTTGATCATCTATCGAATCTTACGATCATGAAATATAATAAAATTGGTTTTTGAAGGAATCAATCAAAGTAAAATTTTATGGTTTACATAAAACTTTTGATTTCGCTTGTATTATGAATGAGATTTGGTATGAAAAATGCTTAATATTTCTAAATCCCACCTAAATCTATTTTTTCTTCTATTTGTCTCTATTTTCTAAATTCGCGTCTAAGATGTTTATTTTTATTTTCATTACTTTTTTTTTCTCACTATGATATTTTATTTTGTTCTTTTGTAGCTTTATATTATTTGAAGTTAGCCTATTTTTTTTATTTATTTTTTTTTTAAATTTGTAAATATGGTGTGAATGTGCTCTCAGAACTCTATTATAAATGTCCTTTATTGAGACAGATTGTAATATTTATCAATAAACAAAAAAAAAATTTCTAAATTCCAATAATTTCCTCTAAAGTAGCTACAATAAGATATATCATATTATTATATATCATATCATATACCGTGGTACAGACCTCTTTCTATCAAATTATTACCATCCGTTTACAACAAAGGGAATGGTTTCATCTCATCATAACATATAATTTTTTTATCTACGAAAAATCTCAGAAATCGGGTATTTTCTCATAAATAGCCATTTGCTTTCCACTTTGCATATAAAAATAAGATGGCCTACACAAATATTGGTCTATATAACCTCGTTATTTTGAAACGTTGGGGTTGGAGGCCACTTTTTCCTCGATTTTGTGATCAAATTATCTTACTATTCAATTGCAAAGCAAATGTGTGTTCAGGAATTTTTAGTACCTAATTACATAGATAATGTTTGCCGATCTCCAAACTCCCCAATTCCGAGAATCTTCGTAAATAAAAAAGTTGTAGATTACTGAAAATGAGATGAAGATGTTTTAGACGTATGTTAATAATTTCATAAAAAGTGGACTGTACGACGGACTACTGTTACAATCTGTTAGCCCAGTTGGGGATCTAAAAGAAAACTTATTCGTTCATTTTGCACTTTCATCGGACTTGCCGCTGAACTGAACAAGTACTACTTCGTAAGTGACTATAGTCCCTGCTATCTGAAATAAATATTAAAACTTACATTACTTTACTGTGATAATGCGAATATTAAATTAATAAGTAGAGGAATGAGTAAGAACTTACTGTCAACATCAGAGAGCGAGTCACGGTGAAAAATTTACAACCGGTTAATGCCAGGGTCTCACTGGTCATCTGGTGTATGAGACGTTGAACCTAACAAATATTAATAAGCTATCATTATCATGATAATGTACCAACCATATTTAAGAATGTACCATTCTTGCAATTCTTCTACCTTGTTATCACTCTAAACTCCATCTTTCTACAAACCTGGAAAACGTTTGTAATATGTATTTTGAACCAAGTTCCTTCAAATCATCATCATCATCATCAAGCCTTCAAACCAAGGGTGCTCAGAATTTTATACAGGGTTATGAATTTTTTGGAAGAAGGCACATATGAATGTTATGGGATTATGAATTTTTGGAGGTAACCATATCTTTTTTGAGATTTTAGTTGAAGAAAACTTCCAAACCAAATAATAAAGGAAAAACTAAACCGCATATCTTATAATTTTGGATAAAATAAAAATTATTAAGAATTTCAGCCGATAGTTTTATAGGGTTAGCCAACGTTTCGACCCAAACATGTGGGTCTTCCTATCGTTTGGAAGTTGAGACAAGAGCCAAAACTTTAGACAAAAATATAAAGGAGAGAAATTTGTTGAACAGGGATGCCCTGATGGTTATGGGGCCTCATGTCTCGCTATTGCTCTTCTCTTCTTACAAATCCTAGATTCTTTCTTTTCTTTTTTTTTACCTATAGCATTACGGAATCTATGTTTTTTTGTTCTATTCTTCCCTACCTTGCCTTTTATTAGGCTATACGGGATTTTCTCGGGCCGGAGGGTGAGGGCAGGGAATTTAAAATCTCCTCTGGCACCGGGACGCAAACTCGTACTTTTCTTCAATCTCAAATCTTGGTTATCTGGTTGCCGGGCAATTCGGCCACCCCGCACCCCGTAAAACCCTAGGTTCTTGTCTCGGTTTCCAAACGATAGCCCTGAGGATTGCGCACATGTTTTGGTACGTCGGCTAACCCAATGAAAATATCGACTGAAATTCCTGACAATTTTGTTTCATCCTTATGATTGATCTGTTGACTACTTAGCCATCTCTAAAATCTTACAATTTTACTTCCATTTGCACTGTTTGTAAAAAGAGAAGAGCAATAGAGAGACATACGCCATTACCCTTAGGGACACACATGCTACAAACAATTTCTCTCCTTTATATTTTATCTAAACCTTTGGAAAGATTATTGCAGTATTAACTGTTCTCTCAATGCTTTTATTTATATTACACCACATAGAACTGGTTCCTTATATAAAATATTTCTTGTTCGTTGCTTCACCTTTAAAACGTTTTGCCAATCAGTATCAGTAAATCCTCTTCTCTAGCTTGTTTAACGTTTTAAATTAATTAACAATATATTAAATTACATAAACAATCTAATGTTTTAACTTAGTATTACTCAACAGTTAAACTGTAAAAGTATTCAGCTATGTTTATTACTTTCCTACCTATTCTAGGTCTGCGGTTTTCGATGGATCTATACGTTTCCGAAAAACACATTTTTAGCGATAGGTCTGTTTGTCTGTCAGTACCAAGATTTTCACGGAAACTAGTGAACCGAATTCGTTGTTTTGTTTTTTTTATTGTGTAGGGTTTTTACTACTGATGCCTGTGACACAAATTGGATGCTCATTGCTCAATAGCGGCTGCATAATAAGTGAAAAACATATTTTTCTATTGACTGTAGCGCAAAAACGGCTCTAATGATTTCGATGAAACTTTACTAAATCCCCGAAAAAATCAGGAAAAAATTTCATAAAGAAAGAAAAATGTTTTGGGGTCTAACTCGCTAAGTATATATTCTATGGTAAAATTTATAATAAAACTTTTGAAAGGTAATTGAATTAGCAACAAAAAAAAAATCATCGAAATCGAAAACCTGTATTAGCGATGATACAGCGTATTCTATTCTCTACACATGTTTTAATTTATTACTTTCCTACCTATACTAGTTAAGGGAAGTATTGCGATAGGGTCAAATTTTCGATGTGAGGTTTTCGACGGATCTATACGTTTCAGAGCCCCCGAGTCCGAAAAACACATTTTTAGCCATTGGTCTGTCTATCTTTCCGTCTGTCTGTCTGTCTGTGCCAAGAATTTCTACTAGTGAACTGTATATAATTTGCCTCTTTTTTTTATTTTGTAGGGGTTTGACTACGGATGCCTGTGACAAAAATTGGGTGCTCCATGCGCAATAGCTGCTGCGCAATAAATTAAAATCATGTTTTTCTATAGACTGTAGCGCGAAAACGGCTCTAACGGTTTTGATGGAACTTTCCTATAATGTTCTAATAATAATTCTATACGTTTTTGAAAGGTGATGAAATTCCTTACAAAACTATATAAAAATCGTTCATTTCGGCAAACTTATTTAAGTTACATTATTGTTGTTGATTAGAGGGTATGAGGCAATACTAGAGGGTATGGAAATGTTTGCACTGATAGCCAAAAAGCTGTTTACATTGCTTTGGTTTGTCAAAGACATCGTACTAAAAAGATTTGAGTCAATCTTCAGGAAAATAAATCTAATTCAACTTTTTTTATTCTCTAATGGACATAATGTGTTTAAAGATATAAAAACTTTTCTGAAATAGATAGGAAAGTCGTGTGAGTGGACACAACAGATTTTGTTTTTGTTCTTATACTGCTTGATTCTCGAAGATATTTCCTCAATTTCAATTTTCAACTTAATTACATTTCTTTATTTTTCAATTCAACAAGCTGGTAACCTCTTGCTTACTTAAACCTGAGCAGAAACTCGACATTGTCAATTAATATCTGTTCCCGAGTCTTACTTGCCCTCTCCAAACTGCGTCCCTCACAAAGCTGCGTCCTGCCATCGACACTATGATTCGCAGGAGCGTAAAGGCCATTATCGGACCCTCTGCGAATACTTCCACGGCGATGTTGTATGCTCTCAGGAGATACCGAGGATTGGGATTAATCCGCTGCCAATGGGATTAATCCGCCTCTTCTTCAACATCGGTCCATTGCTCAGCGACTGTCTAATTTACCAGATGCCCTTTTCCAGTCTACCTTCGATTATTCGGCTGAAGTTGCTGAATGTGCCGAGAGATTGGGGGTTGATCAAGGTCATCGAAATGTGAAAGCTCTACGAGAAAATGCGTTTGAGGAATGGGCCAACTGCAGATGGCAGGGTATTGGTGTTCGCCATTTTAAAGAGACCCCGAAAGCGAATAGATACATCTACGAAAAGCAAGTACTTTCTGGGTCTGAATGGTCGAATGCCCTAAATCTAAACATTAATTATGCACCTCTGCGTGGAGTCCCAGGTGTCAGCGGACAGGTCGGAGAAGTTGGGACCCTCTGCCGTAAATGCGGTAGAGAGTCTGAAACACCAGCCCATGTGCTGGGAAAATGCCCCAACAACTCCCTCCTCATAACACGTCATCACCACCGTGTCAAGTTCGAGTTGATGGGGCTCCTTAGGAAAAGAAAATTCACCTGCTTTGACAAGGTATATTGCATCGATAGTGAAGGCTCTACGAGATAGGCGGATATCGTCGCATTTCCCAAGACAGGAAGGACAGCGCTGATCTTGGATCTAACAGTCCGCTTTGAGAGCAATGACCTCGATCAGGCGGGTGAATTGGAAAGGAAAAAGAAGAACAAGTACGATAAATGTATCCCTTTCCTAAAAGAGAAATTCCGTGAGACCGTCGGAGAGAGAGAGAGAGTTCACCGTGAGAGGCCTCTGGTTTGGGTCTCGTCGAACAATTCCAAAAAGGACAAGGAGCTTCCTCGAAGAACTAGGTGTCGACATTAAGGACGTAGCGAGGTTAGCTGAAAATATAGTCCTCGACTCCCTGGGAATCATTCACCACCATGCCTAGCCTGAGAGTTTTAATGTATGTATTTATTTATTTAATGTAAAATTGAACACAATAGAGATAAAGAGAGACAAGTGTGAGAAAGGGAAACTAAATGTTATCTATTTTACTAATATAAACTAATACTTCTGTATATTTATATATAAGTCCAGCATACCCAATATCTAATGTCCAGCATATCCAATATATACACAGCATACCCAATATAATTGGGCAGCAATCATTTATATTTTATATTTTTATGAAAATAAAGTGTTTCTCTCTCTTTATTTTTCAATTCAACTCGTTTTTTATATGGCCATCGCTGATATTTATAGTACTAGGAATAGATTAAGTCAAGTTTTGTTAAAATAAAAAGCACTATGATATAAATGATGAAGAAACGATGCCAACTGCTCTGTAATCTACCTATGAATTGAATAATATAAAATATTGATATTATCTCACTACTTACCTCTCTGTTAAACTGCTCGGGTGGGACAGAGTATAGTATCGGAAGAGATTCTTTGCTGTGCTCGTAGATACTGGTAGCAGCGAAACACACAGAGATAGTTCTAAAGAGTAAGTGCCCAAAGGAACCACAAAAATAGGCTACACGAAGAAACGATTCCAAAGGTCTAAAATATTAAATTTAATATTCAATATATTAATATAAAAATATTAAATTTACAGCGAGATATTAATGAAATTTACTTAGTAGGTTGTATTTTATTAAGTCCGCAGTGTTCAATTATATATTATAGCTAACATACGAAGCCAAAAAGTCCTAGTGTGATGTGTGACTTTTCGCGATTCTGCAATGGCTGCGGTGATATTTATGAGATTATATTTATCGTATTTACTTTAAACGAAAATTATTCCAAATCATGAGATTGGTTTGTTCGTAGTAGATAATATTATTTTGAAGTTTAATTTTTCATTTTCGATCGTCCAAATTACCATTAAACTTTTTTTGTTTTGATGATTTTAGTTTTAGAAGTTATTGACAAATGAATTGTAATCGATATCAACTAATGTGTAACTTCGCGATATTGATGAAGTTTGGATTGACCTTGATTTCATATAATTGATATTATGTGATAGCAGACCTTAAAAACAAAAAAAAAAAACGTTACTACAATCCATAGTCTATTTTCATAGAGATTTTTAAAATTACCAATTTTATTATAACCTATAAAGCAAAAAAAAAATTGAGCTCTTGCCTTTTTTTAGGACTTGTTATTAAGTTATTGAAAGTCATATCTTGATATTAATTATCATTTATGAAAAAAAACGTATATATGTTATGTCTGAAAGGGATTGATAGATATTCCGTGTTTGATGCTGCGCCATATTGTAAGGTAGCCCTTCTTGTAAATGAAGTATTTTTCTCTATATTACCTAATATGCCTAAGGTGTAAATTTAAAAAAAAATTAGTGGTGGTGAGTTCAAAATAATTATACTTACTGTATACTGTTGAGGAGTTGAATACAAATGAAATATAGATTGGTGGCGAAAGAAATGAGTACCAAACCAGACATTTTATCTTCCACTGACATGGCGAGTTGAGAGAGCCTGTTGTAGAGTTCCCTTTTCTTTCTCCAGTAAAAAAGCGCGTTATCCTAGATAACAGGAAATCTATTCATGGTTCATAACTTTACTTCATAAAATTAAATATGATTACGATAAACAGCTTCACAAAGTAAGGGGCACAATTATATTTTTTTCTAAACACATTTATTTAGGTGCCATGTGGGACTGTATAGATTAGAGGCACCGTTTTTTAGTTTCATATTCATTTCATTACATATTCAATAGAAACATTTCTGTAAAAGATTATATTGTATGTGGCTAAAGTGCTCTCGATCAATCTACGCTGGCTTTAGTTCCCAGTGATGCGGTTGAGAGAGTAGCGCAGGGTTTTCCTTGAGTTTCCCCGCCTGATTGTAAATAGTGTATATAGGTATGCTTGTATTTTTTGCTTAATTTTAATTTTCTTATTTTTAGATGATTTTGATTATTATTTATTGTTATTTTGCTTCTATTTATTTTATATTTTTTGTACATATAGTGTGAATGTTACCTTACCTCAATATAACTAATGTCCAAGTGACAGATTGTTATAATACTCGATAAATAAATTTAAAAAAAAAAAAGATTATATTGTTTCAGTTGAGATTGTGTTGTTACGAAATTTCTATTGATAATCTGTTGTTACAACTGCATAAGTCAATTCTAATGTGGATTGAAGGTATATAAGGGTTGTGTTCTTTAAATATGTCTGTAGCAATTGTGTTGTTTAAGAAACGTGGAACAAATTTTTCAATTTTTTTTATTGTAAGGCTTGTCGATATCCATGTAGGCGAAACGATGGATCTTGATTGATCCAAACTCGAACAATGGCCTAGTATATGTTGAGTTGTTAAAGGTATGTTGCAGTTGCGACATCTTGGTGGCGAATTTCCATCAAGGAGGTGAGCATGAGTGAGCTTCGTGTGTCCTATTCTGAGGCGTGTTACAATGTTCGTTCCTTGCGCATGTTCGTTCATGGCAACTTCATTTTATTGGTGCTTGGAACCTTGTTCCGACTGTAACGCCAAGCCTCTTTACATAGGTTCCGTACTGCTATAGGTTCCGTCTATATTGTCTATATACCGGTTTCGTGATATTGGTGGTGATACCGGTTTCATGAAACATTACCGATGATGGAGAAATCGGTAAGAACTAGAATATCGAAAGGAAGGTACTCCGAAAGATATATGGCTCGGTCAAATAGGCCAAACTATTCATGGAGCTGGGCGTGGTAAATTATATCCGGATAGCAAGACTAAACTGGTCGAATGGAAGAGCAGGTTGTACGGATAAAAGGGACCTTATACCCAAAGGAACTTAATCACTAAAGAATATGATGGATATGAAAAAGTGGGAAGATAACAGCTGAGATGGATAGATGGAGAAAATGCCGAAGCCTGAATTCGAGGAATCAGGAATTGGTGGATGCCCGAAACAGACAAGAGTAGAAAGGGATTCCGAGGAAACTAAGATACGTGGAATGGAATGTCGAGCTTAGGTGATGATGATGATGTTCGCAAGCGTAATATAGTTGTTTCTAATAATATGAGAAATTTCCAAGTATTCATATTTTAAATTACGCTGATACTATGATTTAGCATGTTTGAGGTGTTGGGTACACTATATTACACATTTTAGATTTTTAATGCTGGATTTTATATATTTTGAGCTTTTTACTGCACGAAAATTCGATAACAACCTATGGTGACAATCGCAGTCGCGGCCATGAAATTCCTTGCTTACTTACAGAAATTCCGCCCAATTTTAGCTTTCTTTTCTCCAAATATGATACGCAAATATACAATATACAAATATGATACGTAACAGAAGTTCTAGGAGTATTATTCTTTGTGTTCAGAAAATATTTTTAACTAAGGCACGAAGTATTGATGATTTGTTGTTAGCCGAACTGTATTTTTAAATTGTTACTGTCATTCTGTTACAACAGATTTGTTTGAACTATCGTGGATTTATATAAAAAATATGAACAAAAAAAACCTATCAAATTGTTCCTCAATATTAAAATTTAAAAAATAAATCTTTTCAGCCCACCCTAACCAAAATCAAAAAAACGACTTCGACGAAAGATTCTCTTTAAGACTTACACTAAACTAAGCTCAGAGAAAATGCATTAGTGCTAGGGCGTTTGAGTGCCATTGTAAAAGCACTCTCTTAATTTTTACAAAACACTGTAATTTAGTTACGAGAATGTATACAAATTTAATTGAAACAGAAGCGAATTAATAAAACCCAATTTTTATTGAATATCAAATTATTAATAAATAAAGTGTTTTATATTCTATTAAAAAAAAAAAAAAAAAAAACAGAAGATGACCACCGAGGGGTTTATTGTCCGTCAAATGATAAACAATCAATGTCGGTCTGTGTTAGAAGGGAAACATTAAAGAACAATAGGAAAATTTTTATTTTCGCGATTGGTCATTTTGGGTAGTTGCCACTCATAGGGAAAAACGAAGATGGAGAACAAGTTTTATTTTTTTCCAACAACCTCCAACTTTAATGGCATGTTCGGAACTTCGGTACATGGCTAAGATTAAAACATAAAATATAAATAACGTATAAACCGTAAGTACACTTACATTACAGACCATAGCAGCTGTCATTCTCAGATCTTTATTAAATTGTTTGAACATGTTTGCCAAAGATAGCGAAATAGCTACCAAAAAGATATCCGTATAGTTCCATATGAAGGTAAGCAGGAAATTTCCAATGTAGAAAAAGAGCGCAAGCCACACTTTGTAGCCTAAAACAGAAGAAATGCTCTCGTTGTCCAAAAACGCCCTCAGACGATCTGGATTTTCTTCCTCAGTGGTCAAGAACTGCGTGCCCGAAAGTATATGTTCAACTAGGCAAAAGAAAATATATACACTAAAACATTGAATCAATTTTTGCTTCATTAATCATATACTATAATCAATGGTGCACCGAAGGGGGTTTCATGGGGCAAGCTGCGACATCAAAATATTTGAGGAGGAGAGGTACATTTTGACAGAGTTTTGAATTTTCGAGGGCGGAGAAATTTCGACAGGGTTGTGAATTTTCTGAATGAACATTTCATACCGGAGGACAAGCAGAAAACATGTAACATACCGCAGCAAATGTATTTGTATATGATACACAATTTTTTTTATTTTACTATAGTTTGCACTGTTCTTAAGAAGAGGAGGGCGATAACATATCTCGAGAGGAGGGGGAAGAGAGGTTCCTGCGCCATGGATCTTGTATTGTATTGGAACCTTGTATTGGGGAGTATTGGCACTCCTATATTTTTTTTTTTTCGGTTAGCGCTACAGACCATGAAGATCTTTGTCCGCGAGATGGAATCTAGGGGGCCTAGACCACACCCCGAATCCCGATTTTAGTACACGGGGATAGGGTCATCAGTTCTACGCCCGGTCGGTGGGAGTTGCTTCCAGTAGCCTGACGTGTCTCACATACCTCGGGCAGCGTGGCTTTCCCTGGTGGGCGGTCACCCATCCAAGTGCTAACCACACACAGCTTTTTTTTTTTAATTCTATGGAGGATTGGTTTGTTATGAAAAATAAATAAATGCAAGTTATATTAAAATAGTAACAATACTCAACTTTCCAACTTTTCCATTTAAATCTGAAATATCACAGATCAATTAGGGCGAAATACAATATATTTCACATTGTAGTATTCAGTTACTCACCTCAGCTTTTTATGATCGGGGTTCCAGACACCATAAATTGGTAGTAGAGAAATAAATTGAGCGAATATGAGTGGTGCTTGTAATTCCAACTGTATTGTAGACCCCGTAGCAGCTTTCAACGAAAAAAATAAGATGAATTAATTAATTTAAATGCCTATTTTTACTGAATGTAAAGTGCTTAGTGATTTTTTTTTTAAATTCCAATCCACCAAAATGGCTTAGGACAAGAGGTCACTTTTTGTTTCTGTGTGCCGCTTGTAAAGCTTTACATAAGCCCAAATGATCTGCGCCACAAACTTTTTTACCTTACACTTTGTAATACATAATTTTTGATTGAAGTTATTCATAACAAAAGTTAATTTATCGTTGCCAAAAAGTTGACATTATCTTAATGCTAAAACCATAAATTTTAAAAATATCTTGAAATAAATGTTATTAAGAGTCGCTTTGCTGACATTATATCCATGATCACTCAATGTTTTTTATCGTGCAAAAAGCTTTTACCAAAACCACACTATGTGAAACACGCGAATGGAAGATATTGATGTCCAGTCTACCTGTCTCGATTTAAGGAAGATATTTTTTTTGTTCTCTAAACAGAGTCGGATAAAATTGTATTAAAGTACGTCTTACACCGTGACGTATTAAAGCACATCTTGCGCAGTGACCTATTAAAGTACGTCTTACGCAGTGACGTATTAAAGTACGTCTTACGTAGTAAGGTATAATGACTAATATTCTGTTAAATCGGATATACCCGTATTATAAAAACATAATAGGCGACCACCAATTAGAAGAGGATTCAGAAGAGGGAGAAGTACGCTAGACCAGATATTCATCCTAAAACAAGTACTAGAAAAGCGAAGAGAAGTAGATCGACTTCCAAGCCGCCTATGACTCCATGGACAGAAACTGCCTCTGGAAGATCATGACTGAGATGGGTGTTCCCAGGAAATTAGTGAGGTTAACGAAGGCGTGTACAAATGATCCTAAATGCAGGGTACTAATACAAGGAGAGGTATCTGAGTAAGTAATTAGAACATCAGGCGAAGATGGAGGGGTGCACGTTGGAATGAAACATAAAATCCTAGCATATGCGGATGTAGCTGTCCTCGGAAGCAATCAAGAGGATATTGAGAGACTCGCTCGGACTCCGTTAAGAGAAGCAGAGCAAATCGGGCTACAAGCCAATGAAGATAAAACAAAATATATGATAGCTAGCTTAAACATCCACCCTAATAACATGATCTGCATAGACTCTAAGTCATTCCCGAAAGTAGACAGATTCAAATACCTCGGCTCCACAATAACCTCAATAAACGATCAACGAGATAGACCTGCGAACAGATCATTCAT